GCATAGCTTGATGAACAGTGCGTAGGTCCCCGCCCAGGATCCGAACCTTCAAACTCCAGGCTGCCAAAGCAGAGCGCGTAAACTTAACCACTACACCACCAGGCCAGCCCATAATACATTTTAATTGTTAGAAGTACAAAATTAAGACTGATATGCTATCTGAAGAATTGGCAAAGGAATATTTTAAATGCTTGAAAAAATAGAAAATAACAGTCAAAAGCATCTGAAAGAAATCATAAAGAGCCAAAACAAGCCCATCGCAAATGAAAGGTCAACACTTTGGTTGGAAAAATAGCATTTTATGTGGGTGAGGTTTTTTTCGGCCTATACTGTTTTGTGTTTTATTATACATACAGCAGTTTCAAAATTCTCTTGTCAATTTCTCTGGTGCCATATCCATCTTACCTTAGTTAAGATGCAAAAAAGAATCTTTCATCATCAGTAATCAAATTGAACTTTCCTTTGAAAAGCTCTTAAAAGCACAATGAGGACATTTGGTAATTTGACAAATAATTTCTTTGACAAATTGAGCAGTCATCAAATTGGCCAGTCAGGTTTAATTTCAATGAACTGGCTTTCAACAAATGCAATTTCAGCCAGTTGGACCCACAGCCATCCTTTTTATAGATATCCACAGAGATATTTTTCCGTTTGATGCTGTTGTTACAAATCATGTATCACTAGGGAACACACACACACACACACACACACACACACACGGCACTTTCTAAGAAGCACAGTTTTGTGATGACAAGCTTTGGTTTCTGCTCCACTGGGGATCCCATACTCTGCCGCCTCCTTGTCCAGGAGCAAACACACCTGTAAGTCTGTCCCCTAAGCTTCCGCCAGTCACTGGGCACATCGGCACCTTCCCCAACCCTGCACTGCTACCTGCACTTCCCTAGCATCTGGGTCACCTCTTCCTTATGGTGACAGCAGCTTCTCCAATGTGCCTGCTTCTCTGATACACTGTGTCAGCTTCTAGCTGTCCCGTGTCTTTATTTACTGAACAGTTAACTTCTAGTCAGAATTAGAGACGCTGTGATGTTCTCAATGCGCACTGCACGCGTGGTTGTCTTTGCCTTCACGGGCAAAGTGATAGCCAGTCTTGGAGGCTCTTAACTGAGGGATGGAATTTTAGAAAATCTTAGGAACAAAATTATGTTTCCCATCGCCCCTGCCACCCCTGCAGAGGCTGTTCCATGAAACTAACTATAAACTCGTAATTTTCAAACTGCTTTGATTAGAACAGGTCTTCAATTCATTCATTCATTCATTTACTCACTTAAGAAATACGTGTAGGGGGCCTCCTCTGAGCTCTGTTCTGGTGTAGGGATACGGCGATAAACACGACACACAAGGCTCCTGCTCTTTTAGACCTTGTGGGAGCTGACATCTCAGTGAGAGGCACAATGGTAGATTGAGTCTGTAAATAAACGAGATGATTTTAGTAAGCATCATGACAAAATAAAACAGGAATAGTGACAGAGAGACATTGGGTGGGAGGGTACCAGTGTTCTTTGGGGATCAAGGAGCCCTCTCTGAGGTGGTGAGGGAGCTGAGAGCTTGGTGACAAGAGGGAGCTAGCCATCCAGCGATTTGGTAGAGGGATGCCAAGTACAAAGGTGCCGAGGCAGGATTGCAGAGAACAGAAAGTCTGTGTGGCTGGAACGTAATGAGGGAAGGAAAGTGTTGGGAGTGGAGGTCAGGAAGAGGCAGGTGTAGGGTGGCCAGATTTAGCAAATAAAACCACAGGATGCCCAGTTCAGTCTGAATTTTAGATAAACAGGAAATACCTTTTTAGTATAAGTATATACCACACAATGTTGGGATATACTAGTAGATTACCCATTGTTTATCTGAAATTCACATTTAACTGGGCATCCTGTGTTTTTTCTGGCAACGCTAGGCAGGAGCCCCTACGCCTCATAAGGCCCTATAGAGATTTGATAGGACTATGTCATGATCCGAGTTCAGAAGAATGGATCTCAGAAGGCAGACCCAAAGCAGGAGACCAGTTCAGAGCTGCCATGATTGTGACATGATGGCAGCCCATGGGAAAGGAAGTGAGCAGAGGCAGGGATCTGCATCTGTGTTGCTTCCTGCCGAGTCCTGGGGTTTAGACAGCATCTGCACATGGGAACAGCTGATAGATATTAGTTAAATGTGACGGCCCAAGGGCTTGGGGGCATGTGGGTGCTGAGAGCTGGAGTGACCTGGCATCTGTGTGGATGGCAGAGCTGGCAGATTTGCTGCCTGGTTGCGGGGTGGGGTGAAGGGAACATGAATCAAGGGTGACCTCCAGGCTTTTGGTGTGAGCGGCTGAGTGGATGGTGATGCCAATTACTGAAAGATGAAAGTCAAGGAGGAGGGAGAGAAGGCTGGAGGGAAGATCTCTCTCTGGCTTGAGTTGCTATCAGGCAACTAGCCAGCTGAGCTGCCAACCAACGAGTTAGTGCTAGAAGTTAGAGCTGGGAGACCTCAGATCTGGGGCTACACATTTGGGACTCATCAGCAAGCAGTTGGCACTTAAAGGTGGGAGACAAGTGGGGTAAGGTCAGCACAGCAGGGAGTGGGGATGGAGGAGAAGGGGACCCAGGCTGGAAGTGTAGAGGTGGGATGGAGGAGGAGGAGCTGGAACAGGGGGCTGAGGATGACGCCCAAGGTGACCAGGTCTGTCCATTCAGACCACTTGGCCCAACACAAACACCAGGATTAGAATGCAAAGGTCACACAGAACTGAGGAGCAAGCAACAGTGCGAGAACCTCCTCTGCAAAAATGTCGCTACAATTTCAGTACATGCAACTGAAAGAAAAAGCTTCAGCAGCACAAAGGCTCAAGAAGATTTGTACCCCCAAGTTAGAGTGTCTAGAATCAAATAGAAACTTTTCCAGAGAAAAAGAATAAAGTCACCAGAGTCTGGAAATATTTGATAACCCGTGAAATGGAGAAATGGGAAGGATTGCAGGTGGAATTTTAAAATAAAATGTCAAAGAGTGGAAGAGGGTATTTTATCTATTAAGTGAGAGCTGGGTAAAAGTTTTAATAAACAAACAAATAAACCCCAAACAAAAATCCTTCACAATCATTATAACTGTGTCATTGGAGGACATAAAATAATTTTTTTTAATCAAATTTGAAAATTAAATCACAAAACAGAGCAGAGTGTCAGGGAAGTATATACAGAAAACAAGGGAGGACTGAATAAGCATATGCATAGAATGTGTGATAAAAAATTGATCGTCTTTAGAAAGAGGGCATAGAGATTCCACTTATAGCTGGTAGGATAGGCTCTCGAAGAAGCAGGAAAAAATGATGCATAACTGATGACTAAATGTACAAAAGACAAAAAATTTTCCAGACTTATAAAGGTGCTAAATCCAGGTATTGAGAAGCCTCATAAAGATCCAGTTATCAGAACAACCAAATAGCACCACCTAAACCCCCTCTTAGAATGTTTCAAAACCACCAGGAAAGATGAATTCAGAAAGTAAATAATTAGGAACAGCACCATTACTTTTAAAAATTACAATATTTAATAGTATTCACACTCCTTGATGATACAATGTAAATTCTGAGGCAATATCTCCAAGGTGAAGACTACTGACCTAGGATTGACTCAACCTGGACATCATTCAAGAGCACAGGGAGTCTTTGCAGATTTGAAAAAATTGTGAAAATGTACTAATCACATGTCTCTACTTCAAAAAGGATCCAAGAATTTTTTTTTTCCAGAAATTTTAGAGTGCTAGTGATCCTAAAAATAAGAGCCCAGCAGCTTACTGAGAAGCTGGATATGAATACACCCAAAGTAAAAATGTTCATCTTATACTCTCAGAACACAATGTGATAAAAATAGAAGTAAAAAACAAAACTAGCCATAACCACCCAACCATATGGACATTTTTAGATCATCTCCTAAATCACAGCTGAATTAAGGAAAGAACTGACACAGTGATAGATGGGGTAGATATTGGGGCACAGAGTAATCAACTACTGTATATCAGAACTCTGTGTGATGCAGCCAAAGCACTACTTAGAGGAAAAGTCATAGCTTTAAACCCTCTATTATGAAAAGGGGACTAGAAAAATGAGTCAAACATACAAACTGAATCCAGACTGTAAGTTTCTTGAAGGCATCATGAGTCATGTCCTAATTGCCTGATATTTCCAGCATCCAGTAAAGTACCTGAAACATTTGTTTATTCAATATTCGTGAGCAAAGACTAATGTGTGCTGGCCAGGTGCCAGGCACTGTTCCAGGGGCTAGAGATACAGCAGTGAACAAAACAGAGTTTTTAAGAAATCTCCATTGAGTGAATGAACAATAACAACAACTGGAAAGGAAAAGAACAGGGGGGAAATAGTAAAAGTAAAAAACAGAAAAAAATTAGGAAAAAATCTATTAAGGAAATTTTAAAAATTAGACTCGGCATTAAAAATTGGCAAATCAATAAAGAAGACAGTGTACAATTAATTACATGGCTACAAATCTTCAAATTATAATTAGGTAGAACAAATATTTTACGTAAAATATGAAACCAAAAAATTACCATGCCTAAAGTTTAATGTCATTGATATTTGAATAAATTTCAGCAAATCAATAGAGAAAAAAAAATTTTTTTTAATTACCATGCATGCCCTCTTTTGAAATTTCAAAGAACAAATAATGATCATAATCTATAAATTATTCCTGAATGACAAAATTCACCTAATTCAATCTTCAAGAAAAATATAATTCAAATCCAAAAACTTAATCAAGATAATAGTCTGAAATAAAACTATATCCAGTTTCATTTATTAATATAAATGTATAATATTTCAGTAATATTCTAGCAAATATAATTTGGACATATGAAAAATGAAAGCTTTACCTAAGAAATAACTTCAAAGATGAGTCAACATAAAGAAAACACAATAATTTAGCAGTAGATTAACAGATAAAGGAATCATTTGCATAGACGTCCTAATAGACGTGATAAAATTTAAAAATCATTTCTAATTTTAAAAAATCTTTTAAAAAAGGAAAGAGAAGGATACCTCCTTAATAATGAATTATGTGTCAATGTAGAACCAGTTACACTTGACAGGGAAACATTAAAATCATTCTTTTTAACAAAAGAAAAAGAGTTGCCCTTTATCACTTGATGATCTAACACTGTATGAGAAATTTTTGCTAAAGCAAGATAAGAAAAAGAAGCAAGGAATAAGAGAAGCAAGAATTAAGGGAACAACAAATCATTAGAACTTGTTCCTTCTGAATCTGGAGTTCTGGGTTCAGAGAAACTGGACCTGCGAGTGGAAACTGAATGGGAATCTTGGGGAAATTGACCAACTCTGGGAGACCTAGGTGGGAGGTGGCTCTCCCTCTGGGAGGGCTGTGCAGGGGGCCTAGGCCCCTTCTGAGCAGTCTCTGGGGTCTTACATGGCGGAGGACTATAGCCCTCTTTGTCTTTGCTCCCGGCTTTCCCTGAGCTGGTAAGCTTTCCAGGGACCCTGCCATTGGTTACTTCCCTGGACAAATCCTTTCTGTATAATAAGGCCAGTTCTTCTTAAGTCTTCCAGCTGAAGACCCCATGAGTTATTGGTCATTCTGACCTTAACCAACACCTCCAGACATGTCTGGGAGCCAGTCAGATTTCTCAAAATTTTACAAAGGTTAGAAATATAAGGAATAACAGCATTATTCTTAGAAAACTCTATAGATTCCGTTTGTGTATGTGTATTTGTGTTTCTAGGATAACACTTTGAAAAAGGAGAACAATGAGGGAGATCTATTTGATGTTAAAGCATGTTCTGAATTAGTGCTTTAGAATTTTTTTTTTTAGCCTGGAATTATTTTATGAAATGACAGTTTAAATGGAATACCACTGTGTGAACAGATGAACAGAGTGGCTCTGGCGAAGGGGGGATGGACACCCAGAACCCTGTCTGCCCAGAGCTTCCCTCCCTCTCCCCTGCCAGTCACCTCCCCTGCCCCATCCTTGGTCCCCAGAGGAGTCCCAGAATGACCACTTCAAAGCCAGTAAGCTAAAACACCATCCTTGCGATGGCGAGATGTTGTAAATCTGGGAACATTACTGCACCAGGTTTGCTTATGCCTGTCGCCCAGAAAGCCAATCACGCAGAAGACGAGCTTGCAGCAGAGAGAGTGTTTTAATCACAAGGGAGCCAAGCGAGAAGGTGGGAGAATCAATCTCAGATCCACCTTCCTGAAAATGGGGACTCAGGGGTATTTATGGGGTAGGTGGCAAGGTGCTCTGAAGTGTGGAGGTGTGGAGCTAGATGATGAGAAGTGAGAAGTGAGATAACTGATGATCTGCACAAGTGTAATCAAGCTTCATGCCTCTTCATAGGACACCTGTTCACAAAATGACGGCATTACCATGATCTGAGGGTGGAGTTTTTAGCTCCTTGATCTCAAAAAGGTCAATTATGGAGCATTTTCGCAGGCCCAGTTGATGGGTTGGTGGTCTCAACCAGCCTGAACTGGGCGAGGGGTTTCAGTTCCTGGAAAACCACTCTAAATTACTCTGTTGATAAGATGGTGTTAGTTGAACTGGTCCTGGAGGGCCCACGGTTACAGGAACATGACATCTTAAGTACACGTGGGGAAGTCCAGATTTTTAGTTGAATGAATGATAAGGAACCTGGAAACAAATCCTACCATATTCAAGAAGAACTACAGGGCCAGCCCAGTGGGGTAGTGGTTAAGTTCACACGCTCTGCTTTGGTGGCCCAGGGTTCGCATGTTCCGATCCCAGGCACAGACCTCCACACCCCTTATCAAGCCATGCTGTGGCAGCATCCCATATACAAAAAATAGAGGAAGATGGGCACAGATGTTACCTCAGGGCTGATCTTCCTCACCAAAAAAAAAAAAAGAGCTCCTACAATGGACTAGCCCAAGAGAAAAAGAGCAAGTGCTGTTGAGTGAAACTGTATAGCAATACAGAGAAAGAGGAACATAGTTCTACCACATATTTTTTAAAAAATTCTAGATGAGCTAAAGAGTTAAAAATATATAACAACCACCACAAAAAAACCCATCGATAACATAACTTTAAAAAGAGTGAGAAACCAATTTAAAATAAGCAAATAATTGCTCCCTAGTAAATGCTGCTGATGAATTTTGAACTAAGGTAGGCAAAAAATTGCCAAGGAAAAGGTGAAAAATAGAACATTAAAAATTATAAATCACTTTATAATGAAATCAGCCCAGCTAAGATGAAAATAAGAGAATGGAAAAAAGTATTTACAACACCTAGGTTAAATAAAAAGCAAAGCAATATGTAAAGAGTTGATACTAATGTATAAAAAGACTAACAAAGTACCCAACAGAAAACTGACGAAGAACACAAATAGTTTATACAAAGAGAAATACAGTAGAAACCAACCATGTGGACACATACTTAATGATATTAGAAATTTAAGATATGCAAATCAACTCATCAATATTGAAATGCAATGTTATACCCTCTAAAAGAGAGCAAGAAAGAAAAGAATGGAAAGGATTCGGACAGCACACAGGATGAGCAGGCTCGAACAGTGCAGATGGCCCCATAACTGGTACCATCACTCAAAGGCTTGGCAAGATTGATCAAGAGCCATAATCTCTGGTTATCCTAAAACTGTAATTGAAAATAAGAAAAGAAAAGCTATATGAACAAAGCTGTTCAGAGCAGCCTTTACTTATAATCACCAAGCTCTCAGAATAACCCAAACATCTTCAATCGACTTTGGCACATTTACTCCATAGAATATTTTGAAACCATTAGAGTGTTAAACATGTAAAAACATGAACAGTTTTTGGTGTATAATAAATGGAAAAAAACCCTCAAAATTGTCTGCCCACCATGGTTAAAACAATGTGAAAAAATAGAAAAAGATGAAAAGAGAACAAAGAATCCACAAAGCACCAGTATAGGAATTGTCAATGGATTAGACAAGCAAGTCTCCCTGGGCGTCAGTCTCAGCGGCTAGGAGCACACTTGAACCACCACGCACAGATCGCCAGCACAGGAAGCCCCTGGGGCACTCATTTAAAATGCAGATTCCTGACCAAATCAGGTTGCGGCCCAGAAATTTGCATTTTTAACACTCAGGTGTATGTTTGATTCTTATAAACACTGAAGGTTGGGACTCATCGCTGATTAAGTGATTTCAAAGTAGCTTTGTGATTCTAGATTCAAGTTTTCTACAGGCTACGTAGTCAAGTATGGCTAAACAGAGGTAAACCAAGTCTACGCATCCAGACTCCAGTTTGCTCTGGGGTGGGGGACAGGAAGGAGTTGGGGTTTGGGGGGTGGGCCGGCGCTGGTAGGCCTGGATCTTTGCCTGGGCTTGTCGTTCTGGGAAAGATCCTTGCCTTTGCCAGACCGGGTGTGACCGGGGCTCCAGCTGGAGCGATGCCTCAGCCAAGTCCTCACTAATCCTTAACCTTCACCTTGTCCTCTGCCCCCAGCGAAGTCATCCGGACCCTCCCCTCCCTGGAGTCTCTGCAGCGGGTGTTTGACCAGCAGCTCTCCCCCGGTCTCCGTCCACGGCCTCAGGTAAAGGCTTTGGGGTTGGAAAGATGAGACGGAGAAACTGGGACCGGGGTGGTGGGGTTGGGGAGAGAAGAGTAAACAGTGTTCCGAGGGCTCAGAAGGCAGCCCCCCACCCCACCCCTGCCCTGCATTGGCTGGACAGCCAGAGCATGGGGTGGGGGTGGGAGCCTCAGGACCCGTTTCCCCTGACCCCCCACCAGTAAGGCATTTTCCGCTGCCTGATTCTGATTTGAGGAATAAAGATTTCAAATCACACGCCCATCAGCCAAACTACTTATTAGTGCTTAATAAGGCAAGCCAGGGCCTTTTCCCATCATTTCTCATCAGAACTGGAAGAAAAACATGAGGTTTCGCAATGCTTGATCCTGCCTCTTGCCCCAGGAAGAGCAAGGTGAAGGTGCCCCCCACACACACCTGCTCACGGCCTGGCAGGGGGCCAAGGCCGAGTTGTCCACTGAGCAAAGACCTATGTATCAAAAGGTGTCATTGGCAAAGTTAAAAAGCAAGCAAAAGCAGTATTTTAGGAGAAAGTACTTGCAACAAATATAAGGGACAAGGGATTAATATATATTTTTTTAAAAAGTTCTACAAGTAGTTAAGTAAAAGCAACCTAATTTTTGAATGGGGAAAGGATATAAAAAGGGCTGTTTTACTGAAGAGGGACTGGGAATGGCCAATATACATATGAAAAGATGTTCAGCCTCACCTGGTAACTGGAGAATGACAGGCAAAATGAGGCCATCTCTTGCCCATCAGATGGGCAGAGTTGATTGGTGGAGTCAGGGCTTGACTGGGATGGGGAATCAGTGACTCCCGGGGGTTCACTGCTTGCTCTTGGGAGTGGAAATGTGTTTTCTGAAAAGTAGTTTGGTCATTTGCACGAAAGTGTTAGGCGCACACATCCTTCAAGCAGCAGTTCCCTATGTAGGCAGCTGTCATAGGGACCACACTTTTGCACAAAGAGATGTTGACAAAGATGTTTATTGTGGCTTTGTCTCTAAAAGCAAAAACACTGGAAACCACACAAACGTAGAGAGATGGTGAAATAAAGTATGGTGCAGAATTCTATTCTAAGGTGTGCGTGCTGATGCGGAAAGATCTCCAGGGCATGCTGTTGGGTGAAGAAAGCAAACGGCAGAACAATATGTAAACTATGATGCAGGTTGATGCATGGAAATCATACCTGAAGGATGTATACCCAAAAGGCTACTCCGGCCACCACGGGTGGTGGGGGGGGGATGGAATAGGGCAGAAGGTGGCTGGGCCAAGGGGGACTTCAGTTTCGTCCAGATTGTTTGTTAGAGGATTTTACTGAGAAAATGTATGTGCGTTTTATTTGTACAACTTAATTCATCGGAGAGAAAAAAGGTAATTTTGCTTTCCTCAAAGTGAATGATAGGTTAATTTCCGGGAGAGTAAAGGCAAACCCAGACAAAATAGAGGCCCTGCCAGACACTAAAATTTAAATGGTTTGAATGGAAGACCGCGCACCCAAATCTTTGAGGTAGGTTAGAAGAGGGAGAAGCCTCTGGAGAGATGCGCTGACTGCAGTCACACTGAGGGTGCTGCCCCGGCTGAGGCCAAGGTGTTTGCAGTCATTGGCAGGACGGAGCAGCGACAGGATGGCGGGGGGCACCAGGCGTGGTTGTATTGAAAGGGTTCTCAGTCCCATGTCCCGTATGAGACACTGGATCTCAAAGAAAACCAGAGAAGGTCGTTCTTGATGCCTTCAGAAATTCACAAATCGAGGAGGGAGTTCCGAGGCTGCCTGAGATAGAGGGAAGAACGCTGGCCTCTGGACCAGAAACATCTGACTCACCCTCACAGGTCCTTAGTTTCCCCATCTGTGAAATGGGCAAAGTGACATCCAACACTCTGGGCTATGTGAAGGAGGAGGTGAAATTGCGTGTGTGAGACTTCTGACCAGGGTAGACTCTGACCAACACTAGCCCCTACCCCTTCAGTGGGTGAGACAAGAGGGGGGCCCCTGGAGCCCTGTGTGGAATTTATCTGAGAACTGCAGGGAGGTGCAAAATGCAATGTTATCAAAGTGACCGCTGGCCTGAGGGCTGGGGAGAGACCTGGGTCTGCCCCGCATGAAAAAGGACAGTCTTTAACCTTCGAGCCCACATCCTCCTTTGAAAAGTTCAACTGAAAAGTAAAGTGAAATAACTCGATCAGCTTAAGTCAAACCACAAGTGGCACTCAGACCAGTTAGCCCACTTCCAGGCTAAGCTGTGAATTATGCCCTCAACCTTGACACTAGTGACGTTTGGGGAGCGGGTCATTGTTTGTTGTGGAAGACTGTTCTGTGCATTGTAGGATGTTAACACATCCTGGCCTCTCCCCACTAGTGCCATTAGCCTCCCCCAGTTGTGACAACCCCACATGTCTCCAGACATTGTCAGATGTCCCCTGGGGGGCAAAATCACCACTAGCTGAGACCCACTGGGCTAGATCTACATTCAAATCTCAGGTCTACACCAGCTGTGTGACCTGGGACAAGTTGACTCACCACTCTGACTCAGTTTCCCTATCTGCAAGACAAGGATTAGAAGAATCAATACACGTGAGGATTAGACGAGCAAGCACATTTAAATACAGTCAGTGTGGAGTATGGGCGTAAGAGCTCATCAAATCATCGTGTGCATTCCGCCTGATAAGAGGCAGAAGGTAGGCAAAGCTCCAGCATTGTTTTAATCCGTTTGTTGCAAGAACTAACTCCCAGTTTGTCAGTAATTTCGTTTATACTTTGTAAGTTTTGGCCAAAGCTGCCCCAAAAGACACAGATTTAAAAGAGGGGGGGGGAAGGCGCCATCTTAACGCTGCAAGGTGACTGCCCTGGGCAGCGAGCAGATAATCCCAAGCGTCCGAGTGGGACAAAGAGGAGGCTTGAATCTGTTCTTTTCAGTTCTTTATGAGCCCCTTCTGCTGACTGGCCTTTCTTCTCCGCCCTTCCCTGAGTCTCAGCTCCACTCCCAATCAGTAATAACCGTAGACTGATCTTGAGCTTTTTTAAGCAACAAGGGCAAAACCAAAAAGTAGTCAAGAGAGACAGTGTTGGCAAATTTTAACTGCTGTGGTGATGGCGGTGAGTTGTGGGGGGTGATGGGTGCTGGGTGGGGCGGTGGCGATGGTGGTAATGGAAGTGATGGGGCCTCTGGTGGGGGTTGGGGGTCGTGCTTGGTGTTCAGTTAGTTATACAGACAGGGGTGTGATTTTCCTGTCCTGCTGGAGGGCAGGGATGGTGTCTTATTAACTCCGCATCTCCAGCAACTGGCAGCTCCTCTGGCACAGAATAACTGCTTCGTAAATGTTTGTTCTGTGAATAAACGCTTGGGACATGGACTTGGTGCTGGTCAGATGTGGATTCAAGTCCTGCTGTGCTGTTTACTAGCTGTGTGACTTTAGACAAGTAACTTCAGCTCTCTGGGCCTCACGTATTCCTTGCACAACTTTACCGAGCATCCTCACTGGCCAGGCACCGTTCCAAGCACCAAGGTCGCAGCATCGAACACAGTACTCATGGTCCCAATTCTCCCGGAACATACGTTCTAGCAAAGGAAACATACAAAGAACAAATCAATGATCGTGGTGATTGAGAGGAAACAAGGCAGGCTGATCTGGTGGCTGTTTTAGCTAGTGTGGTCAGGGAAGACCTCCTTGTGGATCTGAGACCTGAATGACAAGGAGGTGGCCTTTGCAGGTGAAATCTACATCTCTGGGGATTCCTCAGAGAGTGTAGCTCAAGTCCATGGGTGGCTCAGAAGTGAGGATGAGCATGGCTGGTGTGAGGGGTAGATCATATACCCTTAGAGGGCAGGGTAAGGAGTGTGGATAATTTCCTCCCGGTGGTGGGAAGCAACTAGAACCGGGTTTTAAGTGGTGGGGTTGGCTGTATTTTGGAAGTAGAGCGAGAGCACTGATGCAGCAGATGGAGGAGGAGGAAAGATAATAATCAAGGCAAGTGCTAGAGTTTTGTTTAAGCAACTGAGTGGATGAGGGAGAAGCAGATTTAGAGGGAAGAAGAAATGAAGACATTTTTTGGTCGTGATAACTTTGAGATGATTGAGATAACCCTGATGTCCTCGTCTGCAAAGGGGGATAATGATGGTACTCACCGGTTGTGAGGGGTGAAAGGAGATGAAGCGTGGAAAGCGCCCAGCGTGGCGCCTCTCCATGGCTGGCACTCTGGCTGCTGTCCTAATGTGCGCTTTCCTTGTCTCCCAGGCACCTGGCGAGGCCAATCCCATCAACATGGTGGCCAAGCTCGGCCAGCTGACAAGTCTGCTGTCCTCCATTGAGGATAAGGTACGTGGGGGTCCTGCATCTTCTCGGGGCTTCTCTTTGGTCCCCTCTTTGCTCAGAGAATGCCCAGGTGTGCCGGCTCTGTGCTCCCTTTGACTCTGTGCCAAAGGATGCTGCCTTCCCCTCGCCTCCCAGCCTGAAGGGCCTTGTGCATTTATGCCCACAGGTCAAGGCCTTGCTGCATGAGGGTCCTGAGTCTCCCCACCGGCGTTCCCTCATCCCTCCGGTCACCTTTGAGGTAAGTGGCTGTGGCCTGTGCTCCACCGTTGGCCAGGATTCTGGTCCCTGTGGAAGGAGGGCTTTCCGCTCGGCTGTACAAGGGCAAGGAGCCCAATGGCCAATAATGGCAGTAGGCGGAACCACCTCCCTGTGGTGATTAAACATTGGAATGGGTGCCCAGATGAATCTCCTTCACGGGGAGGCTCCCCAGGGAAGAGCTGTCCTTCTCAAATTGGGGGCAGTGAGTGACATCAAACAGGGAGCCCCCAAACTGGCTGCAAAGTAGTGCCTCAAGAGGGAATTAGGACAAAAATACAATTCCCGTGGGTTCCCTGAAAGGGACTGAATTAGAATCTCCATTCTCGGAAATTCCCAGAAATTTGTTTTTCTTAATGGTCCTCAGAGATTCTGGTGCATCCAGCCCAGCACTGGTTCCACATTCAGAAACAGGACGAGATGCCCCCATGCCCACCCCAAAGTCCTTTCTAGCCCAGATGATAATTCTGTATTAAGATATAGTTCCATCTTCTGAGCATGTCTAGGCACTTATCTTTTATCCTATTTGTTATCAGTAAATGTTCAATTATTGGTTGCAACAAGGCCCAAGAGCTTAAATTTATTACTCACATCCTTTCTGGAAGGAGATGACACATCAGATTAATGAGTGTTGTGAAATGAAGCAATGAAAGAACCATTTTCCAGTAGTTCATCTGTTTCCTCTACCAAACCTCTTGGCAGAATGGATGTTATACACACAATGGATGAGCTGGGCTCCTTCCCACATTTTAGCGGTTCTCAGGAGCTGCCCGTGGAAACGTGGACATGCGGTGCTGGGGTGAGGGCAGCTCGGATATAGAAGCCCGACGGCCCGACACGGGACACCAGGGCTGGACTGGCCAAGGGCTGCCCAGCCATACAGACAAGGGGCTCATGGGCTGGCACCAGGAAAGCCCAGACAGAGACAGGATGACCAACATCTCCTCTTCCTCCCCAACCTCTTACTCTCCCCCTCCCCCTCCTTCCCCTCCTCCCTCTCCTCCTCCTCTTCACAGGTAAAGTCGGAGTCTCTGGGGATTCCTCAGAAATTGCAGCTCAAAGTAGATGTCGAGTCTGGAAAACTGATAATCAAGAAGTCCAAGGATGGTTCTGAGGACAAGTTCTACAGCCACAAGAAAAGTAAGACCCCCTCACGCCCACAATGCTCTCACTCTGCTAGTGCCCTTACTGACGGCCAGTCAGTGGCAGACTGCTGGAAAACAAGTGCTGCCAGGCGCGTCCCACCCCTGTGCTGGGGTACCCACTGCCCCCTCACCTTGTCTGTGAAGCTCCTACCCAGCTCTAAGGCCCAGATCTCGTGCCCCCTCCTTCACGACGCCTTCCCTGTACATTCTGCCTCCTTCCTCCAAACCCTGGGAAACGGGCTTACACTTGGCGCTGGTGGCAGTTCCTAGTGTGTGTGTGTGCTCTTCCTCACTAGGAGCCAGGCTGACGCACGGGGTCACCTCGCAGTGCCTGGTACAGGGCCCCGTACATATAAGGGTGTTGACAGCATCTGGATGCATCTTTAGCGCAGCATAGACTGAGAGGAGGTTTAGCGTGGTGCTCAAGTACATGCACTCTGGAACCAAACTGTCTAAATTCACATCCCAGCTCTGCCACTTAGCAGCTGCGTGACCTTGGATGCGTTGCTTAACCTCTCTGGGCCTCAGTTTCCTCATCTGTAAAATGGGGATGGTAAGGATCAAGTGAAGAATCTACATGTGAGCCTCCTTAGGAAAGAGCCTGGCACGCAGGAGCAACGGAGGCTTTGTGTTTTGTACCATCAAGTAAACTCATGAACAAAATGGAAAATGTTCCCACACCAAATGCTTATGGAGAAGCTGCTGAGGGCAAGACCCTGGGGGTCCAGGTGAGCGGGATGGATGAAGCCTCTGCCCACACGGAATCTACATTCTGATGCATTGAGCAGCCGATAAATACTCAAATATATCAATGATGATGATTTCAGCCACTGATGAAATGTTCTGAACAAAACAGCGTAATGGGGGGCCAGCCCAGTGGCATAGTGGTTAAGTTCACGTGCTCCACTTCAGCAGCCCAGGGTTCGCAGGTTCGGATCCTGGGTGTGGACCTACACACCACTCATCAAGCCATGCTGTGGCAGTGTCCCAAAATAGAGGACGATTGACACAGATGTTAGCTCAGCGACAATCTTCCTCACCAAAAGAAAAATAAAACAAGAGAACAGGGTGATGGTAGAGAGTAAGTGGGGGCAGAATGCAGTTTAGAGGGGGCAGAACACAGTTGAGAGGGGGCAGAAACTTGAGTTGGCAGTCCCAGTGGGGAAGATGGCAAGTGACAGCTGGGCATTGTGGCCAGGGGGCAGAGGGAAGAGAAAGGCTTTAGGGAGGCTCAGAGGAGGGACCCCTGAAGGACAGCTGGACTTTGGGTGGCAACAGAGCAGACTGAAAAAAGCCAAGATGTGGCCCTGACATCCACTGCCTGGGGACATGCGAGTTATTAGAAACCAGCTTGGACGGGGTGTCCTGTGGATGGGAGGACTTTGCTTTGCTGGCCTGGGATCGAGGAAGTGCAGACGGCCTGGACAGAGGGGATGTGGGAAAGAGGCGGTGCTAAGAGGACATCTGTGTTCCAGGTCTGGTTGACCCACAGCGTTGGGTTCCCGCAGGGGCTGGTACGCAAAGGGCACAGGTGAGGGAGGCCCTGCAGGGTCTCGGGACCAGGGGGATTCCCACTCCCAGCTGGGGGCCACGTGGGACTGGTGATCGCCGGTGCAGTGGAGAAGACTTGGGGAAAGCACCTGAGTTTCCTGAGCTTCTGGCTGACAGGTGTCGACACTTGCTTAGCAGTGTTTCTTTCGGTATGTGGCCGACAGGTCCCCCTAGACACTTGAGAAGTGCTGTGGGTCTCCCCTCAAATAAATTCACACCTTCACCCGACAGTTTATATTGCATTTCAGGAGGTTTTCAGATCCTCTGGTCTACGAACAGTATTTTTCCTTCTTCAGGGTCTCAAAATCCATTTAGTAGCTCATAACTAGGGATGCCAGAACCAACAAATGAAAAATACAGGACACCCAGTTAAATTCAAATCTCAGATAAACAACGAATAATTTTTTAGTGTGTCCCATGCAATACTTGGGACATACTTATAGTAAAAAATTATTCCTTTTCTGAAAAGGAATCCTTGGCGTCCTGTCTTTTATCTGGCAATCCCAGGCATGATCAGCATCTTTTGTTCTTAATAAAGATAGCTGAAATCATCGTATCGATATATTTGAGTATTTATTGGCTGCTCAACGCATCGGACCGTAGATTCCATGCAGGCAGAGGCCTCCTGCCTCCTGTTCACCCTGGATCCCCAGTGTCCTGCCCACATCTTAATAAAGTTGTATGGGAATAGAACAGAGCAGAAAAGGATAAAAATAGAAAATACCTAAGTGGTTTTGTAGAGAGTAAAGGTAAATATTTTTTCATGAACTTGTGCTGTAGTTACACACACGTGCATGCACACACATAAATTTGTGTGCCTGGGGTCACACATGAAACAAATTTTTCCTGGGGGTCACAGGCAAAAAAAATAAAAGGACTTAAGCCCCTGGGCTGGAGGCTTTTCTTTTTCCTGCTGTCTGGAAGCAGAGGGCTCCAGTCTGGGTATGTTAGAAGCCTGACTGTGGGATGGAAAGTTCTGGAGGCAGGTTCTCTTTGGAGACCGTGGCTGATGGCCAGAGCTGGAAAGTTGGGAGCATCCTGCTGCACCAGCCTTGCCCCGCAGATGCCCTGTAGGGAGCGTGAGCTGCACTTCCACACTGTCCCCCACTGTCGTTTAGCCCGTGGGTTGGAGTGGCCTTCAGAGACTGTCCTGGTTGGCACCAGGCACCAGCAGAGATGGCAGCACACCGGGCACATCCCACTTGGGTCTCTAGGGTCCAAAGCACCAGCTACACCTCACCCCATCAAGAAGCTTGTCTGAGTTGTCTGTTCAGATGGCAAACCTTTGGCCTGAAAGCTAAGCCCTATAAATAACGCCCATTGCCCTAGAAGTCCCTAGGGTTGGACCTCCAGAGGGGCGAGAAGGGAGGTTATATATTCAGCACTGACTCAGTGCCAGGTGCTGGGCTGGGCACAATATGACAGAAGATAAGAGCACAGATGGGCTCTGGGGCTGCACTGCCCAGGTTGAAATCTAAGCTCTGCCTCTTGCAAGCTGTATCACGTTGGCCTAGTTACTTAACCTCTCTGTGCCTCCATTTTCTCATCTGTGAAATGGGAATCACAATAACAATAATAGGTTTCTCATAGGCTTGTCATGAGGAGAGAGGAACTAACACATGTGAGAGCACCTCTCATGCCCAGTGGCAGCACTAGCCCCATGGCAGAGTGTCCAGGCAGAGGCCAGGGGAGAAAAGTCTGCCCCATCCTGCAACCTCCTGCTCCTGAGTCCCACCTGGGCTGGGGCACCAAGGTCCAAGTGATGCCCTCAGGGCAACAGGGAGGATGGGAGTCTGGGGACCAGCCCGTTGCAGGGAACGGGTGCAGCGAGGGGAAGAGCATAGCTGGCACAGGGAGGTGTTAGAAGCCCACTGTGAGTCCCAGCTCAGCCACTTGTGACCTTGGCCTAGTGCTCTTTCTCTGGTCCTCAGTTTACTCTTCTGTCCAATGGGTGTAGCAGCATCCTATAGGGCTGCTTAGTCTTAAATGGGCAAACGTGAAAGTACGGAGTGCCTAGCGTCCCGTAGATGCTCCATAGGACTGGCTGCTACCAGTACCACCATCATCACAATTATCCCTCCAAGGCAGCTGTGAGGAAGGCAGACTAGAGCAGCGAGGAGGATGGGTTAGGAAATGAAGGCCCTAGATCCTGGAGTGTGACAAGCTGTCATTCACGGAGAGCTGAGATCATAGTGTCAGGGCAGAGCCACTCTGTCCACTGCCAAGTCGGGCAGGAGAAATGAGGACTTGCTGAGGATCTGAGCAGGAGAGGGACATGTTGAAAGTGATCAGCTTAGAACCATGCTTTCCTCTTATCTGTCAAGGAGAACAAGTTACAGCTGAAAGGGGTGGACCCAACTTTGACAAGAGGAAACGGAAAGCTAAGATGAGTGAAGAGATTGTCAAAGATGCTGATGGCTATAAAAAAAACTTGAGGTTTCTGGACTGAAAGAAATACCTCCCAGGGTTCTGAGAAGCACTATGTGTTCTTATCAATTTAATTCAATGGACATTTTTCTTTTGAGCATCTTCCAAGGACCAGCCCTGAGTTACAGTCCTCCCTCAAAGAATTTGCAGTTTAGAAAGGAAGCTGATATGTGGGCATGTATTAGAATGTGTGTCAGATGTAAGGTTAGCCCTGAGAGAGGACTGACCAGCTCTCTTGTGGGGGGAGGGGGTGCAGGGAGACAACACCACAGAGAGGGCTCTGTCTGGGGGCTTTGAAGGATGAATAGGAGTTTACCAACCATGAGGCAGGGGAGGGCATTTGGACTGAGAGGACAGCAGGTGTAAGGAATTGAACAGGATTTTAGGGAAATCATATGTCCCTTGTGGCCTGGGAGTGGGGAGCAGGGGGACATGGGGTCCAGATGTGGGCGGGGCCTTGGATGCCAAAGTAAGGGTTGGAGATGTTCTCCTGTGAGCTGGAGGGTGAACACAGACCTTGTGGAATTCTGGACAGCTGGAAAGTGGCTGTCAGATCAGGGGTGTGTGGAAGAGCCAAGCTGGCACTAAGAGGCCCCCCAAAAGACCAGCTCAAGTCGAGAATGGACGATCACAAGGCAGGTTTGTGAGAAGCATGGATGCCCAGAGCCTGCCAGCCCGGACTCTCTGAGGGCCTGGCCCGCCTGGCTCCTGTCCTCCCTCCAGGCTGGTGGAGCCCTGCTCACCCTCTGTGCTGGCACCTGTCACATCAGAACACAATTACCTCCCCCAGAGTGGGAGGGGTCTTTATCTTACACACCCTGGAATCCAGGCTCCAGCACAGGACCTGGTACTCAGCAGGTGCATCTCAGGGATTGCCAATTGACTGAGGCACTGTTAACGGTGCTCATAAAGCCCAGACTCCCCCTGCCCCCTGCATTAAGGTGGGCGTCACAGAGGCCGGGAGGTGAGTCTCTTTCATGCGCTGTTAAATCCTCCGTGTCTAGAACAATGCTTGGCACAGAGTAGGTGATCAATACATACGTACTGAATGAATGCGTGGACTCTAGACCAGTGAAATAACACAGTTCATGTGGCCGACATGTTTAGGTGGCTTCATTATAGCTGGCACTGAAGGCAGTGTGCATCAGGGGCGAGGGGCTCTGGGTAAATTGGATTCGTGTCCCGGCTCCACGGCTTGATGATGGTGTGACCTCGAGTAAGTTACTTAACTACTTGAAGCCTCAAGGTCTGCATTCATAAAACAGGGATTCCTGTAGGGTTGTGAGGACTAGTGGGATAAGGCATGTCCTTAGCTGCCATGGCACACAGTCAATTTCCAGTCATGGTTATTGTTGTGAAGTGCTGCCCACCTGGAGGAAATCTTTGGTTGCAGGTATCAGAGCTTCCTTGCCCTGTTCCCATCACCACGTGCATGAGTAGCTTTGGCATCAAAGTCTTCTGTGCATTGGAAAAGCCAGTTGCCGTATGAGGAAATCATAATGCATTCACTCACTCAGCAGCTACTATGTGCCATCACTGGGGACACGGAGGTGAGCAAGCCAGGTGGGGTCCTAGCTCTCAGGCAGGTTACATTCAAGTAAGAGTCAAGGAGACAAGAAGCAAGTACACAAGTATATCAAGCAAGAGAGCGTGAGGGAGCAATAAACTCTAGGCTGGGAATTTAAATAGGGTGATAAGAATGATGGAGGAGCGCCGTTTGAGCTGACACCTGAGTGTCAAGAAGATGCTGGCCATGCAAAAACCAGGGAAAGACACCCTCGGCAGAGATTCCAAGGCAGGAGCAAGCTCGGCGTGTGAGAAGGCCGCGGTGGCTAGATCACAGGCGGCCTGGAGATTGGGTACCAGTCACGGGGACCCGGTGAGCTGCAGTACATTCTAAGTGCAATGAGCCACCGTTAGGAGATTTTAAGCAGGAGAGTGGTGTGAGGCCACTTGAAAATGAACTCTGGCTGCTGTGCTGAGAATAAATTATGGCAGGGACTGGGTGGAGACAGGGAGACCCATTAGGAGGCCATGACAGTAGCCAGGCAGGAGATGGTGGTGGCTTGAGATGGTTGGAATGATGGACATATTGTGAATGTTTTGAAGGTAGAACTGCTTGGACCTGCTGATGCGTTAGATGTAGAGGGGCACGGGAAAGAGGAACAGAAAAGGGCTTCTGGTTTTATTTCACTGGGTGTGGGGACAGGTGGGCCACTTATTGGCCGTGATAGAACACTAATCCTGATCAAGCAAAATGTCCCATCCCGGAGGCAGCCATGCAGTCCTGCAAATGATGTCAAGGAAAACCAGAAATTCAGAGGGAAGGAGACATGGCCTACCAGTAGCGGATTTAGAAAAGTCTCGGGGCATGAGTAGGAATCACACCACGGGACGTTTACGGCTGATGGGATTCCTGAGAGCACAGGACGTCCATGACTTCGCTCGGGTAAGACTTCTGGTCAAGATGGTGGTTGAACACGCACACTATTGTCAGTTCCCTTCCTAAAGGCAAAACTCACAAGGACAAAGAGAACAAGAGAAAATGATGGCAAGGAAATTCTGCATGCTGAAAAGCAGAAGGATAATGATAACCGACTTACAGGAACAAAAAAGCTAAATTTTAAGCATGTAGTAGGAAAAACTGTGACACCTGACTCATACCACAGAAGCCACAAGTGTACAGGAATTGATAGCATCAGGGGCCCCTAGAGTAGGGCTGAAGATGGGGTTATAAACAGCAGGCGTGGATGAAAATCTACTTCAGAAGAGTTAGACCCGCCAGATCCCTCTCCACTCCACACAGCCAGTGGCTTCCCTCACTCATTAGGCAGAAGACGGGCTGTTTATTCTCTGGAGAAGGTAAAGGACCAGAGGACACCAGGCCTAATGAAGGCAGAGGAAGCTACTGAAGACAGAGGACGAAATAACAGTCCCTTTCTGAATTCTGAGACCCCAGCCTTCGTGCCTGCCCGGCTCTGGGCTGCTGCCAGCCAGGCCCACACTTTCCAGATGAGAGGTCGGAAGATACTTCTCTGGAACACGTGACCAGCTCAGGGGCAAAGATCTAAAGACGCTGCCATCATGAATCAGCCTGTGAGACCACCCAGTGGAGAAGCCCTGCTCGCCAGACCCCCGTTGTCACTGCTGGAACTCCCGGCCATGGAGCACCAGACATCGGAGGGAACCCTGGAATACGAGACAATCAGACTCAAGGCAAAAAAAAGCAAAAAGACAAAAAACCTGGATGAGATAGATTATGTAGACTAATAGAAATTGCCATGAAACAAGAGCAGAATGCTATTTAAAAAGGAACATTCAGAGAACAAAATAAAAATAAAGGAGGAAAAGGGAAAAAGAGCGAGAAAGGGAAACATAAAACATTACGAAAACGTAGCTGAAATTTAAAAAAATAAAAACTCAGTGGAAAGGTGGAGAGAGAAAGTTAAGGAGCGTTCCTAAAAGGCAGAACAAAAGACAAAGTGAGGGAAAATAGGAAAGCAGAGATTTTTAAAAATTAGAAGACCCGTCCGGGAGATCCAATACCAAAATAATAAGTCTCAGTGAGAGAAAACAAGGAAACAGAAAATTCGTTAAAGGAACAATTCAAGAAAAATTCTCAGGACTGAACCACACCAGTTTCCAGATTGAAAATGACCCCTCAGGTGCCCAGCACAATGGAGGGAAACCGATCCACCCTGAGGCACACACAACATTGGAAAGTCTACAACACTGGGTTCAAAGGAAAGATCCTAAAACTTCAGAGCGAAAGATAGATTACAGGCTGTGCCAGGGGCCCAAGGCCACCTCCAGGTTCAGTGATTCACCAGGAGGACTCAGCATAGCGTCACACAGCTGTGATTTATTAAAACACAGGGATATGATGCAAAATCAGCAAAGGGAAGGGCCCACGGGGCAAAGTCCAGGCACAGGCTTCCATAGGACGCACTTAATTCCTCCCCCAACAAGCTGTGACAACACGACTGAAGTGTTGTCCACCAGGGCCTCTCATTAGTGACTCAGCACTCAAGGTTTTTCCTGGGGGCTGGTCACATAGGCACATATCCAGATTCCAGACTCCCAGGAAGAGAGCAGGCGCTCAGAATAAACCACACTGTTTGTACAAACACTGTAGGCACGGAGAGCCGCTTCTAACAGTTCAGGAAACGCTGGGAACTCTCCCCAAACATCTCCCCATAAGGATAACAGTCAGACCTGCCGTGTTAACTCTCTTCTGCACACATGGGATCAGAATAACGTTGAGTTTCTCCGCAGCAATGCCACAAACTGGAGATGAAGCAATGAAAAAGCAAAAAAAAAAAAAGGAAGGAAAGAAAGGAGGAGGAGGAGAGAGAGATAAAGAGAAGGGAAGGAAGGAGGAAGATGAAAAGACAGCCCTGCTGTCTCTGCTCTGGCCAGGTCACTTCTTGCTTGTTCCAGGCACCACCCTTCCCAAGCATCAGCCCCTCCCCAGAAGAGCAGCCAGGAGCTTGAGGGACCTGGGAGACTAGACACTCATCTGTGCTCAGCCTGGGGACAGGGAAGGCAGGAAATTGATGGTCAGGTGCTTGGAATATAGCGGAGACTGAAAGTATTGGGTGATGAGCAGATGAATGAATAAACGAACTTCCATTTCTCTTAAGTCCTACAGCTCATCAAGTCTCAGAAATTTCTGAACAAGTTAGTGATTTTGGTGGAAACAGAGAAGGAGAAGACCCTGCGGAAGGAATACGTTTTCGCTGACTCCAAAGTAAGTGACAATACACTTCTAGGATGGTCAGAGAGGGGAGTGAGGAACACATGTTTTCTAAGCTTTGCTACATGCCTACAAATTGGCACCATCAGCTCTCTCAGTTCTCACAACAGCCCATTTCCCACCTGAGAAAGCTGAGCCCAGAGGGGTTAGGGCACGTGTTCCAGGCCAGCTGGGATTTGAGCAGTCACCACTCCATCGTCCCCCCCGCCACGCTGCCTGCCCCGAAAGGGTGCATGCTTTATCACCTGGATGTTATCCAGCCCTGAGCCCCATTGGGAGGCTTTAGCTTCCCTGGGTTGCACCCAGAAGCCCTCAGGGGCACCCCAGATTTAAATCTGAGTCCCAACCAGCACTCCCTCATTTGTACACTTTGCCCCACTCTGCAGAAGTGAGATGCCCTGCTAGGACTGGCTCCTGGAGTAAGAGGTGGTGTGGGTGAGAGGTGGGAAGAACCTGGGGTCTGCGGGAGTCACGGTAGGGCCTCAGTACAGCCAGAGGAGGGTTCTCTGTGACCTGATCCCTCACTTCTGATGTGCCAACCAAGGGCTGGAACCCACCATCACGGCCTCCTTGTTTATCCCCTACTGTACGGCTGGCTTGAGGCAGTGAAAATGGACCACAGGGCACAAAGGGCTCCCACCACATCCGGTGTTGGCTGACTGCATGGGAGGTGCTGTGGGAGGCCAGTTGGAGGTCTGGGGGTGTCCAGAGAGCTGGCCGAGAGGATGGAAGGACTGGGAGAAAGGATAGAGAAGGGACTGGGAGAAACAAGGAAGGAGGGACAGACAGTGGTGGCAGGCAGAGAGAAAGAACATCTCACTGGGCAGTGTTCTGGGCGCATGGGCTGGGTCCAAAATCCTGTTCTGCCATTGCTGCAAGCCGAGAAGGATTGAGACACAGCGGTAAACTGGCCCCAAATTTTGAGCCATCCCCAACTAAAGGCAGGTTTCTATAAAGACAGCCGTCATAACATCTTTGTGAGTTAGTTTCTTCACAGGAGACTTAGCAAGATTTGCAATTTTTAGGTTGAATCTTATGAAATTTCCATTCTTATAGATCTGAAACAATCAAAAATTGCTCATCTCATACGGTACAACCTAAAATTTTGTGCACACTTGTTTAGTCAGCCTGCCCTACTTGACCATAAGCTAAGAGAGGGCCACCTGTGCTTTGTGCCCCACTGTGTACCCAGGAAAACGAAGTGAAGGCTATTAAGGAGGTTCTGACAGCCTAATTATTTTCTTTAATTTAAATTTTCTTTCATTACATAAGTAACCTCTTCTCCTTGGGGAAAAAGTAACAAATAAGCAAAAAGTTTAAAATAGAAACTCCCATATACCATTAGGAAACCTGGGACTATACCCTTCTGGATTTTTTTTTTTTTTTTTCAATAAAAATGCAATGATGCTTTTCATACTGCTTTGTCAACTGGCTTTTTGTACTTAACAATATATTTTGACCATCAATCCTTGTTGATAAAGTATTTCTGCACCAAAATTTAAAAACTCTATGGTATTCTATCATATGGATGGCCCATACTACAATAATTGTTTCATCCCCTAAGATTGGACATTAAGGTTGTTTCCAGTTTTTTCTGTATTAATATATGCTGCAGTCCCCGTGATGTGGTTGGGTCTTTGTATGGTTCCTGGTTATTTTCTTAGAGTCAGGTCCTTGCAGAGGAGTGGCTGGGTCAAAGAGATCCACTTTTATAAGACTTCAGATGCATGTTTCCAGATTCCTCTCCTGGAAGTTCGTACTGATTTGCGCTGCTCTCAGTTTTCTTGAAGCTGACCAATCCTTTGAAAGTATAATGTGCAGGGGGCAGAGGTCTGTCTGAGTCTGTCTGCCCTTCCATCCCTAGAAGAGAGAAGGCTTCTGCCAGCTTCTCCAGCAGATGAAGAACAAACATTCGGAGCAGCCAGAGCCTGACATGATCACCATCTTCATCGGCACCTGGAACATGGGTAGGTGCATATGCCTCCTCTTCCTCCCACCTTCTCCCCTTGGGTTCTGCTTGGCTGCCTCAGCATCCTCAAATGGCGGGGAACACGTGTCTCCCCACTCCCGTCCCCAACCCATCTGCACAGCCTCCTTTCTAGGGAATTCTACCCTTTTCCTGAGACAGTGGGCAAGAGAAATGAGCTCTGGGGGTCTCATATCCCGAGACTTTGCATGTCTAAATTGGAAACTTTTAGGTAAAGGGTCTAAATATCTAAGTGAAGGGGCTCTTGGGCACCTGCCAGCCTTAGGCAGCTCGCCAGGGGCCCCAGGCCTGGAAGCAAGGACTCTCTCCCTGAGTAGGGTTGTCAGGTTGAGAGAGAGAGAGAGGGGATGACCAATTAAATTTGAATTTCATATAAACAACAAATACTTTCTTCTTTTTTTTTTTTTTTTTTGGTGAGGAAGATTAGCCCTGAGCTAACGTCTGTTGCCAATCTTCCTCTCTTTGATGAGGAAGACTGGCCCTGGGCTAACATCTGTGCCCATCTTCCTCTGCTTTTTATATGTGGGATGCCTGCCACAGCATGGCTTGATAAATGGTGCATAGGTCCGTGCCCAGGATCTGAACCTGTGAACTCCAGGCCACCAAAGCAGAGCGTGCAAACTTAACCACTACGCCACTGGGCTGGCCCCAACAAATACTTTTTTATTTTTTATTTTTTTATTTTTTGCTGAGGAAGATTTGCCCTGAGCTAATGTCTGTTGCCAATCTTCCTCTTTTTGCTTGAGGAAGATTCACCCCAAGCTAACATCTGTTGCCAATCTTCCTCTATTTTGTATGTGGGTCACCGCCCCAGGGTGGCCACGAGTTGTGTAGGTCTGCGCCCAGAACCAAACCCGGGCCACCAAAGCGGAGTGTGCAGAACTTAACCTCTACACCACCAGGGCTGGCCCCCAACAAATACCTTTTTAGTATAGGTGTTTAGCTGGAAATAAATAAATACATACATACTAATTATATATTATGCTAAATATGTATACTACCATATATATTTATATACTAATATATAATATACTAAAAATATAAATATAATATACTGAATATAAATTGTACTAAATAATTATTTAGTGTAACTTCAGCTAGAAATAAGTCCTAAATACACACCAAATATATATGGTACTAAATATGTGTACTATTTACTTATATATATTTATATATTAGATATATTGTACTACATATAAATTAGGCTAAATAATTATTTAGTGTAAGTATTCAGCTAGAAATAAAAACATAAGTAGATACTGGGTGTCCAGTTGAATTTGAATTTCAGATAAACAGATATTGCATGGGACATGCTTATTCTAGAAATTATTCATTGTTTATCTCAAATTTGAATTTAACTGGGCATCCTGTCTCCCCCACTTTGTCTGGAGCAGAGTCAGGGCCACCCCCTCCCAACGCAGCAGATAGTCGCCCAGCAGTGTCTGGGAGGAGGGGGCGAGCAGCCGCCCATCACGAAGGGCCAGGCAGTGATTTGGAAATGAAAACACATATGCGACTCCTGCCCAGTCAGCTGAGTGGAGGATGGGCCGGTCTTCCAGGAGGGCAGTCAGGAGAGCTCCTGACCCCCATGCCACCAGCCGCCAGCCCTCCCCAAGCCTTCATGCCCAGATATGCCAGGGGC